AGTTCTGGGTATAGCTGGCACATAGAAGCAGGTTTTCTCTTTTCAATCCTGTCCCACATCAATCCTGATTGATGTGACTAGCCCACTAGGTTCTGCATGGCAATAGCAGGTGGGACAAAAACAGCTCCTCCCAAATTTAATCCAGCAGCAAGAATAATTTTTGATAAAATTTGAGGGAAACATTAAATTCAATGGTGTTATTTGTGAGACATGGCCAATGCCAATTAAAGGGAGCACTGCCTATGCTGACACCTTTGAAGATACTTTGTCTTTGTCCACTCAACATCTAATTATTACTAGTTCTGCAAAAACAATTCTACCTTCGAAATGAATCTTGAACCTTCTTTTCCATCCCTCTTTTGGATCTGCATCATTTTTCACCTGGACAATTGTGATAGCTAGCTATTTGGCAATAGTTTTGTCCCTTCTTTAAGCAATCTTTTGCAGTATAGCAGAAATGATCTTTATTAAATTAAAATGTAACCATAGTTAGAATCTTTCAGAAACTCCCTTCACTGATTGAATTGTGTTCTCTCAGCAAGCTATTCAGCCCATTTTGACCATCACTCTACCAACTCATTTTGGTCTGTTAACACTGACCTGCCTCTACTTCCCTAATTATACCAGACTGTTTCCTGTCTTTGTGTCTACCCTCCCTTCCTTCTTCACTAACTCCTACTCTTTTCTGGGAAATCCTTCCCTGAACCTAAGGCTGGATTATGATTCCTTCTTCCATTCTCCCATTGAATCCTGTGCACCCTCCATCACATATTATATTACAATGTTTTTGATTCTGTGTGTGTCTGTCTCTCTGGACTGAAAGCTCCTTGAGGAAACTAGTACAGTAAACTTGACATAGTAGCCAACTCCTCCCTCTCACTCAGAGATCAGAGTTAGTGTCACCTCTCAGAAAGGTCATCTCTGTTCACCTGACACACCTTCACCTGGTTCATCCATCTTTTATTCTTCACTTACCACTTTATGCTATTTCCTTATTTGTTTGTAGTTTGTTTCCCCACTAGAATATGAACTTTAAGAGCTGAGACCTTTTCTGCCTTGTTCATCCTTGTATCTCTACTGCTTAGAAAAGTGCCCGATAGATAGTAGGTCTTTATTAATATGTATTTTTCAAAACTGAGTTAAATGATTGGAGGCTGAGTGGATGGATGGATTGATGACTAGATGGGCACATAAGAAGGGGTCAGTAAAATACCTAGGATTGAATTAGCCTATGCATAGTAGATAAGCAGTGTATAAGCCAATTATGGTAACAGGTTAATTTTTTAACACCTTTAAAGGTACCTGATAATAGCTCAGTGACTAACTGCCATGGACTATCACCTGCTTTTTTAATGTATCCCAATTTGTGAAAACTCTGAATATCCTGAATGCCACTAGCAATATTCTGCATGTTTCCTTCATGTTAATTCTCTTACCCACTTTCCTGGTATGTGTAAGTACACAGCTCTTATATAAATTAACAGCAGAGGTAAAAGAACCAGAATCAACCTTTGTAGAATTACCGAACTCTTTACTTCATCAGTTGATATTTTCTGTTTGTGAAGCAGAGCATTTGGCTCAAATTTCAGACTCACCTTTTACAAGTTTAACTTTCTTACTTACAAGTTTTCTCATTTATGAAATAGGCATGATTACCTTTTTTCCTTAAAATATTATTTTGATTATGTGAGGAAATACAATGCTCATCTAATATTAAGTTTTCTATCAGGTATTATTTCATATTATTCCCTCATTTATTGATAATAATAGCAATGTATAGCTCCATATTATCTTTCTTTTAAGCATCTTATTGTTCACTGCTTAAGGTCACTTAATCTTAGGAGTATAATCATTTGCATTCTTAATTTCAACTCCATTAGTTTTTATAACTTTTGAATTTAATAGGACATTAGGGAAGTGGATAACACAGGCCAAAGGAAATTGTATTTTGAACTTCTTATTATGATGACATCCATTTGATTGTGGTCCAAATGATTAGTGAAAAAAACCTGCTGTAATGACAATTTTCCATTGTGAAATAAAGTATGACACTTGGATTTGCTTATTAGTTTACTGTTTATGAAGAAGAAGCCCCCAATACCAATATTCAACAGATATTTATTGAGCTCTTCCTGTGTACAAGCCACCAAGAGCATCTAAGGATGCAACAGTGTAAAGACCAAATGCCTGCTCCACAGGAGCTAAAGGCCAGGATCACTTTAACTCTAAAGAGAAAGCTGCTAGCGACCTCACAGAACCAAGCTCATTATTTTTTAACAATTTACAGTTACCAAAGCAGAGCACTTTCTTACTTTTTATTACCTCACAGCTGGTGAATTAGGTATGATCGTAACCTCAATTTTTAAAATGAAATAAATTGAGGACCACTAACCAATAAGGATATAAGCTGATCTCACTGAATCATGTTTAATTCAAGAATCCCCACAAAATCATATTTCTTCTGGTGGGCTATAACGATTGCCAATATACAGTTTATAAGTGAATGTTGTCGATGTTCACTTTTTTTTAATGTAGAATTAAGAACTGAGTAAATAAATACAGTATTTATAAATTTAGCATCACAGCAATAAGATAGCTTATGTGAAAATATTTATTAAACTGTGAAGCCCTATATAAATATAGCATGTCAATATATATTTTTTAAATTATATTTTGTTTGCATGAATGATTAGTGATGACCTGACAAAGATTGGAAGCCTTATGGCAGAATGAAAAAACACATGCAAGTATTTTTTTTAAATTTCTGATTGGCATTTGACTCAGATGATAAACAACATTTCATGGCCAATGTGTTTGCTGATATGTTAGCAGATAGGGGAAGTTGGTTGGTTAAGAGTTCTGATGAAGTAGACTTACTAAATAGTGAGGTTTGAAGTCTAATCACTCCTTAGAATAGTTACGAATTCAGTGAAGGTGTCCAGTTCAGCGTAAGGTCTTTAGAAGTATAGAACTAAATGGTATAGAATTCTTTCTAAGGCTGTCATAAAGTTTAATTAATCAAAGCTGGCTCTCTAGCTCTGCCATTCTACTGACTGGCCTACAATAAATGGCCTTCCTGACTGTTGCATTTTTTTCATCCAAACATTGCACAAATCAAGGAAAAGGATCTTTGAGACTCCTTTCATGGCAATATTCTTAAAAAAGTCAGCCTCCTGAAGTTGTTTAAAACCAGTGTCATCATGAGAGTGTCTGAGTGCTTTTATGAAGTCTGTAGAGATTTTGTTTAAAACGGAAAGCAAAGCGAGAATCCAGAGACTCAACATTGGAGTTGTTAATGTTAACTTTTTTGAAATGTGAAAATCAGATTGTCTATCACTCCTAATACTGTGATTCTAAAAATGAAGGGCTTCTTAATTTAATGACTTCAAAGTGATATAGTATACCTTCGTAAAGTGCTAAACAACTCTAATTACATGTTTCAGAAAAGATCTTAGTATCTAAATTTAATTTATCAAGTGAATGAGTTATTAATCATTAGTCACAGAAGCAATTTTTGCTGTATTAATGTCAGTTTACTAATAAGGTTTGATTAAGATGATTACTTATCACATATTTTCATCTTCATTATAAAAAGTTGTTAAAGGTTTTAAAGCAGTTGGAGACATGTTAGTAATGTGCTTAGAGCTACTTGTTATCTGATCATAGAATGAAAAAAAAGAAAAATGTTTGTGCTTAAAGAAAAATGGTTACCAATGGGAAACATCTTTGTAACTTAAAAATATTATAATCCAGCTGCAGAGTATTTTCTTTCATATTTTCAAGCTCAATCTGATGTGGACGTTTAATTACAGACAAATGTTGAACTTTAATAGTAATTAAAATATATAATATATGCTTGGTATCAAGCATATTTTGTAGATTTTAATTACTTGTGTAGAGTGGCATTTAATAATTTATTTTATAGATTTTAATGACTTGTGTAGAGTGGCATTTAATAAAGGCAGTGTGGTCCTTTCATATTTTTAGGAATTCAGATAAATTATTGTAGTATATTTTATAATAGGATTGTACTATTTATTATACAAATCTAATTTGGCTAAAAGTTGAGTATAGTGTATGAAAAGTTAGTAAAATTAAGAAAATTAGATATTACTTTTTATTGTTCATAATATTACTTATTATAAATTTTTGAAACTGAACTTAAATGTACTTTCTGGTAAAATTTTATAAACTAATTAATAAGTCAAGTCTATGTAATAATTTTTTAGGTAGAGTAGCCTCCATTTTTAATTTTATAATCTAAACACATTTGGTATGCGAGAACATATCATTTGAGTATTTTATGCTTTAATTTTAGTATTTTAAAGTTTTATTAGGAAAATATATTGACTTACTGAGTGTATATATACTGTTGTATATAATGTCAGAGAGTTACCTCCTCACCTTATAAAAATTCATCTACATAATTTCTTTCAATAATATATCACAAGTTATTATAATATTTTTAAATGTTGACAGGTTTACACATTGCTTTTATGTAGAAGCATAACTGACAATGGTTATCAAAATTTAAGTTAAAAAATTTATAGTAGTGAGAAATACTAAATGAGTATGAAAATGATTTTGATACAAACTCAGAGAAAGGCTAGAAAGGATTTAATAGATTGAGAGATATTTATTGAGAACTTATGAATTATGAGACATGCTAATTTCTGAGAATATGAAATAGGAGATAGCCCTTTTAAGGACAGTCTACATTTGTTGACATGGTCAACAGCCAAAGGATAATTATACGTAATGCAGAATCATAATGTAGAAGGGAAGCATCTATTCAGATGCCACACCCAAAGAAAGAAAGAAGAGTGTTATGAGGAACAAGAATTATTTCTTTCATGTAGTAATCAATAACAAATGTATAAAGGCTTATGTGGCATGGTGGTACAAATTAAAATCATTTAAAAAATATCTCATCAATTCCAGCAGCCACATTTCAAATATGAGTTATTTTTAATACATTTATTTTCCTGATTTGTTCCCAGAATGTTCAGGCCCACTGGGAATTGAAGGTGGAATCATATCAAATCAGCAAATCACAGCTTCATCTACCCACCGAGCTCTTTTTGGACTCCAAAAATGGTATCCCTACTATGCACGTCTTAATAAGAAAGGACTTATAAATGCCTGGACAGCTGCAGAAAATGACAGATGGCCATGGATTCAGGTAACAGATGGGATGGGACAAGGTTACTGCTAAAGAATGACCAGAGTCATTTCAGAGAGAAAACAGTGAGAGCTCAAATGTGACTTTTCTTCATGGTCACAGAGCAAAGAATAATTTAGTTAAGAGTTCAAATTGGCTGTAAGCTCTGAAACTGTGGGAAACATACACATTCCTGGTCAAAGAGTTAAAGATTTTTAAATTTTGGGGTTACAAATATTACTCTTTTAAGATGTATGTCAAAGAAAGAGGTTTTTATATATGCCATGTTCATTAGCATTGTGTTAACATTTAGCATCAACTTTGGACACTTCACAAAAATTGAGATTTCATCTTTTCCTTCTCTGTCTCAGAAGTGGTTCCACATATGCAAATATCAAATATAGAATGGATTATGGTAATACCTCAAATGCGTTCAGCAACTTATTTCAATAGCTAAGGGTGTTTCAATTTATATACTCTCATTTATTATTATCAACAAGCTATTAAAAAAAAACAGGAGAAAACAATGATATACTGTGGTATTAAGTGATTTCTCAAATATGGGGTGGATGGTAGTGATGACAGTACCTCATATTTTACTCAGTTAGTCACTTTTTGAGTAATGAGCTGAAGTGAGACAGTGAACTACATAGTAGAAGGACAGAAAAGGTGATCAAAACAGTTTTCTGTGAAAAGTTTATACCTCTGTTAGGGTTATGGAGACCACATTAATAACATCTAACAAATCATTGATATGTGCTAAAGAGGAGGAAAAAATCTAGGATATAATGGGGTCAGAAGAAGAATTAATTAATTATTATGAGAAAACTTCATGGGGAAGATTTCTTTGATCTACATGGCTCCATTAGTTACTTAATATCCTTGTTTTGTTTTAGGCATTTATAATTGCATTCATTTTGCAGAAATTGCTTCTTAAGTTACTCACGATTTTTCTAATCTATAGCCACATGTACAATGAGAATTCTAGAGAGTGGAAATGGGACATCTGTATAATTTTGATTATAGACTAATTAATTTCCAATCATGGTTTCAAATAGACACAAAACAATAGAAAGCACTTGTACTCTATTTGCTAAAAATCATTCCAGAGACCTTTTCTTTAGGTAACTGTTATGAAATGCTTTTGTGGGATTGAAGTCATGATAAAACTTTAGAAATGAAGATTCAGAGCAGAAATTGCAGAGCAATTAAGAGATAATGTCACCAGTTTGCATTAAGACTGCTGTTTGGCAAATTATGTGACTACATGTTTCGCTAAACCATAAATAACACGTTTTTGCAATGCTTTCTCTGAGAAACACCTTATAAAAGAAGTTTCATGTCCTGATATTTCACTTTGCATTGTCCCAATTATTGCTTTCTTAACACTATGTTTCATTAAACCTTTCAAAGTATGAATGAACTTTAAGTTGTCTTTTTCCCAGTGATTACTGGTAGATAAATGTAACTGTATCAACTCAAATAGAATAAATAATTTTTTTTTATTATTTTTAAGGAAAAGCTTATTATTATCACTATTACTTTGCTTTTAGTGTGAAGATGATAACGAGCTCTTAGGAAAAAATAGTAAAAGTAAATAAAAAGGGTTTTATATTAGGTGAAGATATCTTTCATATAATGAATAAAAAACTGAAAACTCACCCTCATTATTCAAGAAGTGCTATGTGATTGTGTCCAGAGTATATATTTTGTTATTTTATTATTTAATAACATCTTACTTTCTAAGTTATTTTTCTAAAAAGAAAAAGTTTATCCTTTTCTTAAAGGAACATTGTATCTAAAAGGCTCTGAGAAGTCTAATCATATACCAAATTTTCTGTGTTGACATTATTGATTTCCTTTGACACTTAATTTTTTACTTATATTCTACTTTCAAATTTTAGTACATTTGAGTACTTTACTTAAACTCACTTAAAATGAGCAAGTATTTCCCTAATCTTTTGAGTATTTGACACAATGCACTAATTAGTGTTCAATTTCATTTTATTCCTTGTCTTGATGAAATAAAAAATGAAATTGCCATTTTAAATTTACATACTCAGCATGTAATGATTGACAATACCAGAATATTCATAGTTGGTTCTGGATCTAAAAGATTAGTGCAGTAAATATAGTTAAACGAAAACCTCTTTTTTTTTTTTCAACTTTCCCTGACCTTTATTTCCTCCCATAGATTTTTTTCCAACAAATAAATAATTACTACCTTAAACACTTACTAGTTCATTAGCATCCTGAAATATCAGTTTCTCTTTCTGATCAACATGTCAGAAATAGCAACTTTGCACAATTAATGGAAATATATCTTGGGTTATCTCATACAAAAATGTAAAAACTAGCTGAAACTTATTGAATTTTGTTAACCATTGTCACCATAAAATAAATAAAACAAACAAGCAAACAAACAAACGTAAAAACATTTAAACTTTGTGGGTGCTTGGCTAACAGATTTAGGTCAATCAGGATAACTATTATTTATTTTTAACCACAATTATTTTCTGTCATTTTTCTTTTATAGCTACATGCAGTAAAATATTTTTTTAATTTCTGAGGTAATTTTATTTTATTTCCAGCTAATTATTTTTTCATCCATTTGACAAACACGTACTGAACAAAATTTATCTCCTCTGTGCTCTACTAGAAAAAAGACAGCACTTGCTTCCAAAATGCTCTGAATCTAAGGTATAGAAAAGTAAACATGGTAAACATAACAATACAACTTTTGTGGCCTGGTCTTATATCATCTGCTAACTATTTTATCTGAATCATAATATTTTACTACATTCAAATAGCTTATTTTTAAAGGAACTTTATTAAACTAAAAACTAGTTTAGCAAAATATACGAAATATGAGAAGAGAGAAATCCCTATTACGTTATGTATTACAGTTCTATTATTACATGGTGATCTATTTGATGGTTATACCTATGCAAAGCCATAATTTTCCTTTGAAAATTTGAAAGTTAATTTACCAGTAGTTTCAGTACTAGCATTTTATCACTCAGAAAAATAGATTTGATCTTTCTCTTTCAAATAATTCATTACTTGCAGAGAAAATGTAGATATGATCTTAATATGTTCTTTTTCTATATACTAGAGAGTCTGTGGGAGGAAGAAATACTAATTGCTCAAACTTTAATGTGCACAGGAATCATATGGGTCACCGGGTAAAAATAGAAACTTCTGGACTGCCCCAAAGACCAACTGCAGGTCTTCCTTAGACTACTAACATGTCTCATCAGCTCATAAAGCCTAAATTTGTATTACTTAAGTTACAGCAAAAAATAGATAAATAAAATTAAAAAACACTTTTGCTTGGTGATCTAGGCATTTTGTTGTTGGAACTGCATGTAGTAAAAATTACATGGGTAGAAGGCAAGGAAAGAACAGTGAAGAAAAATGAGGAAAGATGGGGAGACTATGGGACCCACAAAATCTCTAAAGTATAGGGAGGCAAAACCATGTTATCTATCTTAGTCAGAAGTGCATCCCACTTTTAGCAGCAATTCATAAGTAAGCATTTTTCGTCATAGAATTTTGAGTATTTTCAACAGTTAATGTTCCTAAATGACTATTAGGTTTTTCACTGTTAAAAAAATTTAAATATCTGAAAGCAAGATCATCTGACTTTTGCTTTTTAAACAAAATAAGAGTTTACAAAACATAGGCCCCCAAAATAATTATTTGAGCGTAAATTATGTTACAAATTCACATGTCTGGAGTAAAAGTTCCAATTATGGTGGGGTTTCATTTTTAAAACTTTGTGCAGTGGAATTGAAAATGGTGCAAAAAATAGAGCAATCATCTATTTCATTCAAGAGCCTGTATATATGTGAAAACGTGTTTGGTACTTATAGACACCTGGAGCTCCTTGAGATACAAAACCATTTTTAAAAACACCAAATTTAAGAAGTAGAATTTTTTTCATTTTCAAGTTATTTCTGAATTAAATATGTATACGTATTCTATGTACATATACATATGTATAGAATCTAATCCATCTTTACCACTTCTTCATTCAAGTAGAAAATGTCTTAGCCTCTTTTCCCCTACATTCTTAGATATACTCCCATCCATACTAAATACCTCTCTACAGCTAATTATATCTAGACATTGATATATTGCTTCTTCTAATTATCTCTTTTTTAAAAAGTAATCCTGGATAGAACATTATTATTTTCCTTTAAGTTGTTTATTGTAAGTGAACTTTCATATACAGGTGTGTGTGTGCTTAAAAATGTTACTTTTCATTTTTAAAAACAGTCACTTAGCATTAAGTAAAACTGACTTGATGTCTCTGTACTGAAAGTAATATATTTAGTCTCTAATTATTTGATCATTTACCACATTTAAACTAATATTATGCATATTGCTTGCTTATTTGCTTTAAAGGATGTGTTTTGGATCTTAGCTTCAGATTCTGTGAGTATGTGGTTAACCATATAGAAATTGTTCCCTATTATATAGGAAGCTACATCTGGAATCTCTTTTCTTTCCTTTAAGCTGCTTCCTCTCTGATTTCCAGCACCCAAGGCCTCATTGGCCTGGGATTCTTTCTGTTCCTCAAATTCATCTAGCTGTTTTCTGTTGCGGTGCTTAGAGATATACACTTCATGGTTCGTCTGCTGACCATCTACAAATCTTCTTCAGATTCTGCTCCTCTATTCCTCTCCCTATAAAGGAGTTCTTAGAATTCCTGCATTTTATCTCCAAAGATAGAAATGACTACAGTGTCCTTTTTTCCAACTCTGCCATCTACATATTGCAAACATAGCAGCTAACATACCTTTATAGTCACTGTTTACCTTTCTCTCTCCTCCTATTCTGTAACTTGAGCATAGGAATTATACCTGATTTAAGTCTATTTCCATAGCACATTGTATAAAAAAAAAATGTTGGATAGATGCAGATTATTGATTAATAGAAGAATGGAAAATACTGAACAAAATAGATGAGAGAGAGATAGTCTTTATTTTCTCATGGTAGTTCTGCTGTGCTGAGTG